GAGGACCTCACAAACCTCCCCATTGGCTGGAACCCCTTCAGTCCCCCCTCCCTCCCCCCAAACCGGCCCCCCATCTCCCCATAGCGACCCCCTCCACCCCGTTCCCGTGGTGGCCCCGTTCTCCTCCTCACCCCTCTCCTCCATGAAAGGTCACGTCAAGGAACCCTCGGCCTCATCTTGGGGGGTCTCAGGAGAACACGCCCCATAGCACCACCCCCCAACCGCCCTCAACTTGTCCCATAGGGCCACCACCACTCCGGCCGTGGCCCTCTGCACCGCCGTGGAGGAGAAGTAGAAGATGACGGGGTCAAGGGCGGCGTTGAGGCTGGTGAGGAGCAAAACGTAGACCCTCCAAGAAGGACTCCGCTTCTCCACGAAACCCACCACGTGCGAGACGTTGTAGGGCGCGAAGCAGACCCCAAAGTTGACCATGGTGGCCACCGCCAAACCCACGGCTCGTTGTTTCTTCTCCAAAGGGATGTTGGGTCGAGCCAGGAGGACCCGCACGAAGTTGACGTAGCAGAAGAGGGTGACGGCGAAAGGGAGGAGGAAGAGGATGAGGAAGAGCTCCAGACGGAGGGGGAGGACAAAGCTCAATTGGTCGTCGGAGAAGTCGTCGTAGCACCTGAAGGGGGCGGTGGCTTCGGAGTCACCATGGACGTTGGGAGAAGAAGAACCGGGGACGGTGGAGGTCTGGAGGACGTCGGTGGGGCCGAAGATGTCGGCGCCGTTGAGGGTGGAGGTTCTGGAGATGGTGAGGTCGGGGTTGGAGGTCTTGGGGCCACCGGTGGAGCTCTTGGAGGGGTTGCGGGTGGAGATAGCGCCGTTGGGTGTCTTGGAGCCACCGGGGATGACGCCGTTGCGCGTGGAGTCACCGGTGTTGGAGATCTTGGAGCCATCGGGGTTGATGCCACCATGGTTGATGCCACCAGGGTTGATGCCACCACGATTGATGCCACCAGGGTTGAAGCCACCAGGGTTGAAGCCACCATGGTTGATGCCACCACGGTTGAAGCCATCGGGGGTGACA